CATCATCGTCCTCATTAACCATCTCGTATCTTGCATCAACATTAGTCAGTTGTATTGATGGAAGGGGACGACTTGTGAGTCTCCTTTTCTTTCTAATGTCCCTCAATTTTGATCCTACAATGACACACCTGAAGAATAAAATTGTTACTTAAATAATATTTTCACTGGAAAAATAATAAAATAACAGAAATTGATAGTATCTAGATTAACATACATAACAATAAGCAACACCAATACAACAGCACCCAGGATACAAAATGCTATAAAATAAGGATCCTCAGATTTTGCAGCAGAATTCACTGTAGGTGTGGTCATGATGCAAGCAACAGCAGCTATTTCATCAGTTGTATCAGCTAATTGCTTTGCAACATTTAGTGGATATAATACTTTATCACAATCATCCAGTGAGGATTCTATTCCATTGCAAGTAACATTAGATAGAAATACAGCTCTTCTTTGATTATCATTTTGATTATCATAAGCAGAAACGTCAGGCCTACCTATATAAAAGAGAGAAAGAGTATAGGGTCACAATGGTTAAGTGCTCTTACTTTTATCATAACCAAGTTGACGGCAAATAACTAAAGAGTTATCATAAGTCCAACTCTCACCAGAGATAACTCCCCAAACATTATCAACACAAATTTGTACAACTCCTTCAAATTGATTATAGCCTGATAATCTAATGTCACCATTCCTGCATCCTATATAACATTTTAAGTAAACAAGAATACTAATATCCATACACTCAGTACTAACCATCAAGACAGAATGCCCCAGCAATCCTATCTCCAGTACAAGTAAAATTAACATAGTTAGTTTTAGCACATTCGTCAAGGCTAGTCTCCCAGCCACCACATTTTACGTTAGAGTACATAATTGGTCCAGTAGATACTCCAAATGTTGAGCCATAATATGCTTCAGGCTCTGTACGTAATGCAATACAGTATCAGTTTAAAGTGTGTATTATCAATACCTAGCTCTGAGAATCCTAATTGTTGACATGCAACATGAGCATCTGTTTTATCCCACCCATCATCACAGACGCTACCCCAAACTCCATCAACACACACCTCCAGTCTTCCTTCATTCTCGATCAGTCCATCAGTTATACGTACGGCACCTTCTTCACAGCCTGTTGGCTCTATGGTATGCCCAAATACAAATATATAACCTCCTACACAGCCATTCCTCTTACCATAACAAGTCAAACTAATCACTTCTTGGCATGTACATGATCCTTCATTAATGATACAGTCACTGATTGAATGTGTGGTGCCATTACAAGTTATGTTTTGTATTAAACTTTGATTGGTGGAATCATAAGCCACTTCACCAACAAGACCCCCTATTGAAGTATAATGGATGTAAATAGTATGTTACATAATTAGCATTCCTTCCCTTGGTTTACATGAATGCACCAGTGCACAATTGTTTATTTAAATTCAATTATAAACAAACAACACAATGTACTCGTGATAATTTTATAGTAGCAGAACTAGCTCATAACCCACAAAACATGCTAAGTGAGCTAAACAGCATGTTCATGCAATACAATGATACATGTACATGGCATTTGGAGTTACTTTGAAACATGTAAAAAATCCAATTTTAATCGAAACGAGCACAAACTTTCTACACAACATAAGTACATGTACATGCATCAGAAAGAATTGTAAAAAATGAGAATTTCTACTTTTCATTTTTGGCAATGATAGTACAGCCAAATTTTGGTGCAATTTTAAAAATCCATGGTCAAGATGTTGAGTGCATACAAATAAACTTACAAGAAGCTGTAGTGTATCCCAATTGATAGCAAGCCACTAAAGCCTCTTTATGTGTGAGTACACACAGCACTGACCAATGTCCTTTATAACAGTACTGTAGCATATTCTGTTGCCTTAGTCTAAATCTTCCTTCAGTACATTCGCTCCCTCTAGATAATGATACATC